TCTGCCTTTCACGCAGGAGGCCCGGGTTCGATTCCCGGCGTCGGAATCTTTTTTTCTGCTGCTCATCGGAGAATTGCTTGAAATGATAGTTAATGAATCCAAAGATGCATAACAGTTCGACGTGATCTAGTGGTTAGTATTTCTGCCCCATATCTTAAATGGCCTTCGTGAAGAGAGATGACGTTTTCCTTGTTCGGTCACCTACTTTTCTCTCGTCACATCTTGGAAGTACTTGGCGTGGTTCACGGAACAACAACTGCGTGACATTGAATGATTCTCTCTTCGCCGACGTAATTGAGTAGAACAGGTATTTGTAAACAGCTGAACATAATCCAAGTGAATGAGATATGAATTTTGAGTACCACATGTGAAAACCAAATCAGAAAATTGACTTTTAGTCACGAACATAGCATGATGACAGTAATATATGGCAGCGTGAAGGCTTTTTTCGTTCACTAGGACAAAATTTGCAAATGTTGTGTGATGTCTACCAACTTATTCAATTTAAATGAGCTCATGATGTTTACAGGTTCGTTCGGCATACGTAACATGGACAAACTGCTGAAAGCCAACAGTAAAATCCATCTATTTTGAATGTAAAGGCAAACATATTGTACGAACCATACACTACAAAACTTGAGTAGCTGCAACAACAACTAATCAGTGACAACTCAAATCACTTCGCTTCGGTCGGCTGAAACAAGCTGTAAACTGTAGTCGGTCGTGTTTCTTCACTGAATTTGAGTAGGCTTATACTTCATAGCGGATGCGATCAGCTTTTGAAACTGGAAATATATTTTAAAAGTGTTTCGAACCACAAAATGTTAACTTGTAACACTATTCATTAGTAGGATGGTCAAGTAATCGTCTAATAAGGACTGAGCAACAAAGACAATTATATGGCGCTATTAATAGTAGTTAACAGTTCCCATTTGAAAACTATTACAGCTAAGTATACTTAAAATTGTTTCGCTTTGGTTATTCATTACGCACCACGCGTATTGGAAATTGAATAAGTCGATGAGAAAATTAAATGTACTATTACATTATTCGATTATACAAAATAAATGCATTATGCGTATGAATGAAAGTCTAATGGTATCCATTTCCTCATAACGAATTTAAAAAAATATAATATAGCTCTTGAACTTAGTCACATCTCAACTAGGAATCATATAACTAATTTTCACTCCATTTTTAACTGAAAATCGTATGCTATATCGTGCTCGATATCGGGAATTAGTACATCTACGTAAACATGTAAAGAGAGCTCACACGTGTTAAATCTGCCTAGCAGAAGTATCAAAAAAAGGAAGGTTACAATTACACCAACGTATCAAAACGTGTACAAGGTGATTGTAAGCACCATTCACTCCATGGTACATGTTCACTCATCTAACAATATCTTGTTGATGCAAAAGAACATGATAATAAAGCCTTGAAATACGGAAAACTACGTCAAAATAAATATACTAACCAACCAGCTGTTTTTAATATGAAAGACCAAAATGTTTCATCACTGAGTGAATCGAAAAAGCCTCACCAAGCATCATGAAATTATGTTTAAAAAAATATGTACCAATGATGCATTCGCTTTAACAAAAACACGTCTTCTTATAAATGAAAATCTGATCGCTATGTGTCAAAGTAATTGAGACGAGGAGAAAAATTTTAGAGGACCGATTCAAACTTGAGTGAAACAGTCTTAGATACAAAGTGACATCTAATATCAGCGACCTAATTGATTATATGTACGATTACTAATTCAACATAGTATCTAATCGGTAAGGAATCAAGTAAATTCGAAATTACTGAATTTCACATCAGCTCTACAATTCTTCTTTGATAAACTGTGTAGCCAGAATAATAATTTATGCAACAGTTATGAGCTAAGACGAAAATGTGCAATATCACCAAACATTCAAAATAAACCATCCATCATGTTGGAAGAAATGAACCATGGTGATGCATTGATCGTAAAAAATCACAAGTAGTTTTAATATTGCGCTTAATTGGTTCGCGCGTCATTTTTCTCTAAAACATCTGTTTCGTTTACTCAATAGAACCAGCAACGTACCAGTTACAGCGATGAAATTTTTCAGTAGATGATTAACAACTAATTGCTGAGCTCTTCAATGAATAGTGTTCTAGTCAGCTCTTGAGTTCAGTGCTAAACTAATGGAAGAATAATAATATATCTATGCCTAACAGCATTAATGTATCTCTAAAACTGATATGTTATAGTGTCGATGGATGAGGTACACGGTCACTTGCAGCTAATTAATTAGTATACACAATTAAAGTATCCATATGCATATTCATTGAAGTGAATGAGCTATTGAACACAAATAAAATATCACATTTTAATAATTTATTAGAACGTATAATAATCGCGGTTGAGGGATTTGTATAGCACTAGAAAAACGTCTTAGAGCATCGTGTATCAAGATAGATATACCAAATACAGTATTAATTGATATTACAGGACTCTCAGAACCAGTACGTGTAAAAGTATTTACTGGCTAAATGATCAAAAACGTTATCTTGATGATATTCTTTCATTAATGGTGGAAGTCACCATTGTCACTGGCGACTTTAATGAAACAATTAGAGAATCACACAGCCTTTCAACGGATAAGAGATGAGTATGATAAAAACCTTGAATCGAAGAGAACAATCTCCATTACATACTATCGACATCATCTTCATTAAAACGTTCGATACTCAATATGGATTCATTCATCTCAAATATAAAAACTAAACTGTGGAAAACGTTGCACTTCGACACTAGTGATTACTGGCTTCTTGTTTTGACTTGTGAAAAATACTTTTTCGATATGAGAAGCATTTTCCTCCGTACTAATTGAAAGGCGTTTTAGGCTATTTTAGTTCTGTTTCAAACATTCTGAGCAGAAGTACAAAAGAGAACAACCATAAATGAATGATGTTGTTAGCACGTGCGTTGTATCGCAGATATCAAGAACAGACTAACTCAATGGAAGCAATAAGAGAAATAAAGACCAAGATTACCTCATAATATAATCGAGAAATTAAAAGAAGTCAGAAAAATAAGAAATAAATACTATCATTTACGTCAAAGAGGCATCTGATGTGAAGAAACTACAGTATTATTATGAATCTTGTCAAGAGAAATACAAAGTAAGATAGGAAAGTATAAAGTGACTCAATGGCATGACTTTTAAGTCACAATTCAATAAACACATGATCATAAGAATAAAATGTGTTGCTCATATCTGTCTCGTATTTATAAATGACGCACACAATAGTTTTATAAATTATTGAGTGCTGATAAAGTAATATCAGAGCATAATGAAAATACGAAAGAGTTACATGAGTATTACAGTGAGCAGTTCATAATATTCGCGATCGATTATAAAAACTCATATGAAGTGAAAATTGACAGTGAATGCAATGAAATATTGAAGATATTATCAAATTCAACTGAACAAACGGAAAAAACAAGTATTGAAGGAATCAGACGATTCATTGGCTCTCTTAAACCGAAACAATCAACAAATTATGATCAGATTTCGAACTCATTGATGAAGAGACTTCTTTCAAGTTATATCGAATGTCTTTTAAATTGTTTTAAACACTGGCTCAACAAATACAGATCTCGAACCAAATGGAAATTAGCAAAAATAGTAACTCTAAATAAATACAAAGCAAGTGTTTCAAAATGCGATCAAACACGTTTAATAACTTTAGTAGCAACACATTCCAAATTTTTCGAAAAACTAGTATTTAATATGTTCAGATACTAGTCAGAGACGAGCCTAGTACCGATGATCGAATACTTAAAACAAAAAGGTACATGATTGTCCGATCCCATCTGATATACTAAAAAAAATGGAAACAACTTATAAATTTGTCAAAATCAATGGCACAGCTGTTTTCTGCACAAATACGAAAACCAAGAGCGTATATAGAAATGAATAGACAACAAATCAAATTATTAATTGCATTTAAATATATAGGATTTACATGAACAAATAAGTTTTCCTTGAAACTAACAGTTGATAGATGCATAGAAAACATTCAGAAATCGTTAGATAAGGTTAAATATTTAAGAACAAAATGCTTCATGCCTAACAAAGCGCTTAAACAATATTTTTATTATTCGCATATACATTTACTCATCAAGCATGGTTATTTTCCTTCGTCCCACTGCTTTTCAAGTCACAAGAACTACCATTACAGCAGCAACTCAAAGTTAGTTTTTGACTCGTGCATTGTTGCACCTTTACCTCAGCTCGTAATCGATTCACTATGACTAATGGCTTCTTTCTTTCATTTACTTCCTTCTTCTCGAATTTCTAGATGTTCTATGATTTTTTCTTGCTTTTCTCTATGTATCTCTCTATTTACTCTGTTACACCTATGTAACTAGAGTGAATACACTGTACAATGATATTGGTGGTAACTGTAAAACTCATCGGATTCATGTCGTACTTATTGCTCAAAAATCATCATGTCTCTTTATATCATCATGTAAGAATTTGTGAGTGTTACAATTAGAAGCGTAATAAAAAAAACACTTGTCTTTCGTACAGGAGGTCTGGATTCGATTCTCGGCGTCGGCATGCTTTTTTTTCTAGAAAATAGTCATAACCAAGTTTTTCTGTTGCTCATAACAAAATTGCTAAGAAATATAACTATCGGCACAAAATATGTATAACAGTCCGACGTGGTCTAGTGGTTAGGATTTCTGCCTTTCACGCAGGAGGCCCGGGTTCGATTCCCGGCGTCGGAATCTTTTTTCTCAGAAACGAAACAGGTTTGAAACTAGTGTCCAAAAAAGGTAATAACAAAGGTAGTTGTATAAAGTTTTTTCTAAGGAAAATTTTTATATGCACAAAGTCAATGCAAATAATGTGTAGCGGTAGTCACAGTTACAGCTGAATGAACACGATATTTAATTAAGAGAAAAAAAAATGTTACGTTAGGTGTGTCGATTATTCCTATGTACAGAGACATTAATTGCCCGTTTTACTTTTGACAAGTGTTCCAGTTAAAAGCAATTAATGATATGCAGCAAACTTTTTTTGATCAGTTGCCATCTAATAATTACTATACGCGATCGATAAATTCTGATGCATATGGACAACTGCAATACGTTGATAACATGAATATGAATCTCGAAGTACCACCAACATATCAGACACCAATCCAACAACTACCACCTTATGCAACGGCTATTCCATCAGCACCATATTCGATACCTACACAACAACAACCATTTCCTGTCAATAACAATCAGAGTAAAAGTTTAACCTTATTTTTATACGAGAGTGTAAGAATTCTCTTTTTAGATTTATCAACAAACTATCTAACAGGTGCAGGAGCACTGACATCTAACAGCTATAAATGGCCACGTAGATCGGTTGTGCTTGTTTGTCCACGATGTGGTGCCACAGTAGAAACACGTTTAGAATTAGAAATTACAACGATTACTTTTATTGGGTTTGTGATCTTATGTTGTTTCACCTGCATTTTGGGCTTGCTAGCATTTTGGTTGCCAGCATGTAAAAAAGTAACTCATTATTGCCCCTATTGTAATAGTGCTTTAGGTATACGACATGAATTACGTTAATAAAGATAGAATTAATCAATCGAATTGTAGGCTTTATTTTTTACAAAAAAATTCAACACATGCTCTGGAATGAATAGTTTTAATTATAAAAAATATATATATATAAATAACACTATTGAAATAACTTTTGAATGTGACTAACCATCAAAATCATCAACATTAATCCGCATGGTATTCTGTGGTGATTTTCGACGTGCACTATTTCCATTTTGTTGATTGCGATCATTTTCAGTTCGATTTCTTTCACGGTTAATTCTTTTTTGTTCTTTTTGGTGTTCAATTTCTTGTCTTTTGATTTTATCAAATTGAGTATCAAAATCTTCTTCCGTTAAATGTTCACCGTCAAGTATACCAACAACAGTAAAATCAAGTAATTTATACGGTTCAAGTTTAAGATTAAGACTTGATGCTTTTACTTTTTTATTTGTAATTAATGAAGGATCAATTATCATCCATTGTCCTCGATCAGGAAAATAACGTGCTATTGTTATTTTAATTAATTCTTTTGAATCATTTTTGTCATAAAAATTCTCGTTTGTAAATGATTTTAAATGCGATAAAATATGATGTTCGAGATATTCATATTTAGCAGCTGTATTGTCTCGTATAGGCCAATGAAGTTCAAATTTATGTTGAAAATAATTATTAATAGTATCTTTCGCATAAACAATATTAAGAAGTAAATCTTTTTTTGCTAAATGTTCAGGATGAGATAATATTTCAAAGGCATATGAACATAAATCGCGTACTTTTGCTTGTCTAAATAGGACAAACAATAAAATGACGTCTCCATGCTTTTTATAAGAAATATTTTACTTTAGAGTTGTTGAAATAGGTTCATGTACAATTGATGTTGGTTGATCATTTTCAATGTCATAGAGACGAATGAATTCCAATGGTTGAGCATTATTAATATAATTCGATGGAACTTCAAAATCAATGAATTTCGCTATATATTCACGAAGAACATTAAATGAAGATATGATTGGTAATTCAAATCGTTTCTCTAGTTCAATCATTTCGAATGTAGGTCGAGTATGAACTAGGAAAAGAAAACAAAAAGAAGATCATTAGGTGTACATCATCTAAGTTTCTTGCAACGATTGTTAAAAAAATTAAATGAGACAAACAAAACATTTTATCATTGAACTTTCCTCAAGAAAAAAAAGATATTTTATAATCGATAATAGATTTCATTTTCAAAAAACTAAAGCATTCGAAATAGACTAGTCGATTTTTAAAACTTTTTATCTTATGAAGAAAAGTTCGCAAATGTATCTTGCCAATCGAACTGATATTTTGATCATGCATAAGCTCTGATGAAACTAGCAGAGGTCTATATGACTTTGGTCTCGATAGAGTCTGTCGAGTTGTTTTCGCATCTGGATCTGATTGGCTTCGAGTTCGAAAATTTTGGACTCGATAAACTCAAGTTCCCATGCGCTGCTCTTCTACAAGTTAGTATAATTTTACTTAGTCGTTGATCCCTGGAAAGGTATTTGTGAAAAAATCGGATTAGGAAATTTTATCCTGCAGTTTTGTCCATTGGTAGGTCTCATGAACCTTAGAATGCCCTGAAGATTTCAGTCTGAAAGGATATGTTGCTCTTGAGATATTGAATTTTCAAAACCTTGAGCTTATCTATCTTTGCTTGGAACACTTGATCTTTTTTTGAATATTCAATGGTTCAAGAAGAACATATGTTTAGACTGAGATTGTTGGAGTATTCTAAGGACCATGAGATTCGACTATAGACAAAATTTCTCGTTGAAATTTCGTAATTTGGTTTTTTCGCAAGTACTTTGTCAGAAATGAAGAGTTCAGTAAAATTATTATAATTCGAGAAAGACAATGCATAGGAACAACTCCTTATATGTTTCTTCTGGTCTTGTCGGAGTCTACGTGCCGGAAAAATAGCAGTGTAATTGGCACGTCACACTTAGAGATGTTCCCTCGCTAGACGAAATTCAGTCTTACTAGCTTCATTTGGTTTGTAGTATTTGTTGATAATTCTAAACACTTTCAATCGAACATGATTTCTCGGTGCAACACTGCCTGATTGCATGATTAATTGAGCACCATTTGTAAGTCCATTAACTAATAATGTTTGATCAAAATCATTCAATGGTGGACCATCATTTATCAATGATGTTGTAACTTCACATAAATGATATTCATTATCATTATCTAATAATACGAAGAAAAAAGAAAATCATTCATATTAAATAAAGAAATCATTTTTCTTACTATCCATATGAAGTTCTTGTTTAATTAAATTCCATAAATCAGTTAATGTCATACTTTGATCAACAACAAGTTCAAGTGAATTAGGTTCACGATCAGATAAAAAATAAATTAGAAGATTATTCTCCTTAAGTGCTTGACCTAATTTTAAACAAAGATTTGTATTGTTTTGTTTAAAATCAATTGTATCGACAGTTTGATGATCATAGACTAACATAAGAAAATTAAACAATAAAAATTTTTCTACATAAAAACAAAATTTCGCATACGAGGAATATGTGCTACATCAGAATCATCATCGATATGTAATCGACACATGGATGGATCCAATGATAAACCGAATGCTTGAATAGCCATTAATTTAACTTCGCCAATAGGCTAGAAAACAAACAATCATTTTGCAGTGTACAATTAAAATGGAGACAAAATGTTTAAAAATTAAATATTTTAAACTTTTTCCCTCAATCGTCACAGCTAAAACAAATAGAAGAAGAAGATTTGAGTAATTGAAAGAATACTCAATCAGAAGAAATCCATGTCAAATATCCGGCAGCAGGTTTGAGTGAAAGCGTCTCTAGAAAATCAAGACTGCGAACATCAATTTTCTGAACTCTAGCAAGAACTTTTTACTAAAAAGTCTATCTGATAGAGAAAACATTTCGGAGCACTTTAGGGTGTTCTCGAGCTCTCTAAAACCTATCTTTAATGAATTGTACTCATTCTATGTCGACTGCTTCAGGGTGAGACATTTTTCGTATACTATACTCCACCCTATAGACTTTCTCCCTAAACCCACCCAAAAGATTTCCAGACTCTTGGACATATATTAGGATGATATTTTCTTCATGATGTTTCAGCATGTTTTATTGGTTGGCAACGATAATGAAGTACAAAACTATCATATGTTTCAAAAGTTTCATAAGACTAAAGTTTCATTGACTATGCCACCACTTAATTCTGTCTTGTCTCCTTCAAAACTCTTCGACTTGCACTGAGAATATGTTCACTTGCGACTGGAATTATCCAGAAATTTCCCATAGCCTTTTTCCAATATACTAAGTTGCAAATAGTTTCATTATCATTTCTCTCACCTGTCCGTTACTAACTTGTCTTTCCCAAAACCTAATTTCACTTTAACATAAAGGCTGAATTTTTCTAAATCAGACGGATGTCAGGCGTAACTTCAAAGTTACTTAACAAAAACTCCTAGCAATATGAACAACATTCTAATTCCACTCTAAACATTTTTTGTACCAATCACACGCTATCCTAACGTTTCTTACCCTATTCCTATCCTGCAGATAGAAAAAGCTGTTTAAACCTGTCGCACAATGATTATTGTTCGCTGAAGACAGATTGTAGAGACCGGTTGAGCATCTTATTTGATTCTGAAATATGTTCTCTATCGGATGGACTTATTTGAAAAGTGTTTAGATAGACTTCAGAGAACTGATTTTGGCAGTTTGAGTTTTTCAGAAGCCTATTCATCCACACCTGTTAATGGGAATTGGAAAAGTATCTTCCTGATAGGAAATTGTTTGAATTAATCGAATCTTTTCCTGATTTATTCTAACTGTTATTGATAAGGAAAAAAACCAAAAATACTTCGTTTCTCAACTTTTTGCCTTCACTTTATTTATTATTAATCTTACTGTTGTATTTAAACAACTATATGTCATTGGTTTTGTATTCGTTGAATCAATATTATTTTTAACTGTTAATGATAAATGAGTTTTTCCCATATTAGTATTATTTGAAGAAGCATCTTTCCAACTTGGTACACTAGAATATAAATTAATATGTATGTATGATGAAACACAAATAAATAAATAACTTACAAAGAATTTTTATTATCAATACCTAATGTATCACCATCATGTAAATATAATTGTGCTAATGTTTGTTTTTCTTCATCAGTTTTATATTCCCGACGTGATTTACGATTATTTTTTTCTTCTAAATTTAATTTACCCATACGAACTTGTCTCAAAATTTGTGGATCATCATGTTGATAAAAATCATAAAATAAATGTTTTTTTAATTCAAATAATGTAGTATTTTTTGATACATGTCGTGTAGTTTGTAAACGTGATGCATGAATATGTGCATCAGGAAAACCATAGACTATATTTAACATTATTGGTTCAAATTCTTCACCTTGTAGAACTGTATCTGGTAGCATTGATGGATGTTTAAAAACAATCATATGACGACAATTTGATAGATCATTTTTATCTAATGTTATGTCATCATTTGAATTTGTTAATTCACTAATTATATGCAATTGGCCAGAACGAAGTTTTTTCGCAACATAAAAACGACTTCCTGTACCGTATATATCCTCAATAAAAAGAACATCATAACTTTTTGACGTATACGAAAAACATTTTTTGTTTTAAAAATATATTTAATTATCAAATGTTGTTCAGTACAAAATATTCTTTAATAAGAATTTGAAATGCCTTATGTAGGTTAAGTCATTGTCATGTTTTGGAAACCTTCAAAGCTTTTAAAGATGTATTCTTTGCAAAATGTTGAAGGTAAATGACAGAGATCGAATTAGTTAATGATTTTTTGAAACTGAATCGAACTCAGTTAAACCTTATAGACAATTTAATAAACGTATTATACTACCAGATTTAGTGATGTGCACACTGACAGCAATGTTCACTGAAGTACTGGAAACACGCTGATTCGAAAAGGATTTATTTTGATAAAATTAGTGTATCAATGTTAGCAGTGCTACAGTGAATTCTGTGTCGGCAGCTTACTGTTAGTATTTCACTATTTATACCAATACTGCAAGTCCGTAGTCAGATTTAGATGGAATCGATTCGCGTTTTCTGGAACCAAATCGAACTCATCCCATTTACGATAAGTAACGCCAGACTCAGTATTTGTTTTCTCTAACTTCTTATGAGCATTCATTTAACCTATTAAACATATCGATCTAGCAGAGTCAATAATTCCTTGCAAAATTAACCTGTTCAAGCTTGTTTTTTTCACTTTTGCAGAGCGATGTTTTAAAGTAATAATTTTCTATAGCTCGAAAGATAGATTTTCAATCTTGTAGATCTTACTCTTAAAGGAAAGCCAGATAAATATTTTTATATATAAATATGATAATTCCTATCGTAAGGATGGTGAAAAGTTCTATTCTAATGAAATGATTCGCTGTAACACACGGTCTAATAAACTGTCGAAGTATATAAGGTAGAAATCTGTACCAACCCTCCCCCCCCCCCCCCCCTCCCCCGCACACAGAGACCGTGCCAAAAACTAATCAAAGACCATGACAGACGTTGTTAGTATACAATCAAAGACCGTACATCAATAACGTCTTGTTATTATTTATAAACTCCTTTCTTTTTGCATTTCTAGAGGACTCAGCAAAACGATGGTGAAAAAATATGTTCCAAAACAGATCGAATAAAACAATCTCTTTGTAATTAGCAAGAGCAACTACATTGTGTTTCTTGTTTTTGTCTTGCAGGGACTGCGCTAACAGTTTTTCCTATCAGTTTGAATCCGAGCGTTTTTTTGAATGATTTGATAGGTTGATTCACTGTTTAAAAAGGCTAGTACCGATGAAAAAATATATTGAATAATTACAGCTTCAGATATGAATACAAAATAGAGAGTTACTACAGCTAATTAAGTATTTTCAAGTCTTGAAATCAATATATACCTCAAGATTTGGCATAAATTCATTAATTTTTGTTCGTTTATCAAATACATGTTCACCATATTGATCAGGAAAAAGTACTTGATTATTATTATTTAAATTTAATCGACATCCATCGATTACTTCAAACCATTCACTCGGATAAATAGTTATTGGTAATTGATTTTGATATTTTTCATATATTTCACTATATAAAAACAAAAGAAAAAAAAACAAATAACTCGATATTGCCATTTAAATACAATACAAACAAGTCTACCGTTTTTCCTCTAAAATTTTATTTTTTTCTGCAATTTCATCAATTAACCATTGCGGTATTGAATATATTGTATCTAAACAATCCATGATTGATCCATTTCTATTTCGACGATTTTTTAGTCTATAAAATAACATATATGCACACTCATTTAAACCATAATGTCTTTGAATATGTTGTCGTGTAACAGATGTTACTATTGAATCATCAAAACAAAACCAATATTCATCATTTTCATAATCATTTACTAATGATTTATCTATTTGTGATGCTTCATAATCCATATCAGTTATTTCATTTTGATCAATATCCATTTGTTCAACTAATCGAACACGTTTTTCATCAATATGAAATACTTCTGGATGATTACGAAGAAACTAGATAAATCATTGATAATTAATAATTATTAAGAACTAATAATAAGAAAAAAAAAAGAGTATTTTTACTTTTGTAAATGCACCATTAGAACCACGAGTTCGTCCACGCGGAACTGTTGTATTGTCACGATAAGTCTTAAAACACAGAAGTCTTTTTTTAATCGTGTTCATAAAAATATATATATATATATATAAATACTTTGAAAAGATCATCAATAGTAACCCAATCATCACATGATAATAATATTGTTTGAACTAGATCAATTTTTTTCATTATTTCTTCATCAGTTTCAACTGGATCAGTTTGATTTGAATTTCGATTAGTACGAGAATTATTATTTGGAGTATTACCATTTCGTATATTCGATGTTTTTTGTTTGTTTGATGATTTTGTCTATTATAAACAATTAAAAGTTAAAGATTTTTTTTCTTTATAAACCTATTTTATTTGAAATTTAACTAATGTCAAACTTTTTTTTCACTCAGTTTTTATTTGTGTGAAAAATAATTGTTAATAAAAGTTGAATTCTATAGCGAGAAAATCAAATCTCGTTCATTCTCTGCATGAATTATGACATATTACATTTAACATTTTCCCTTAGAAGACGAAACGAGAAAGTACTTTGTTTCTTGACTTGCCTTGTCATGTCTTTAGAGGAAGTCTGTGTCGTTTGATTATGTGACTTATTTGACAACATATTGCAAAAAAGGCATAAGAATACAAGAATACAAAAAATAGACATATGAATATAAAAACGGCATAGCTCCAGATTAATCAATCTTGTACTTTGTTTTTTTTCAATCGAACAAAGAAATAAAATATTATTCAGAATTGTTGGACTTAAATTAAATCTTCTTTGCTAGGTAACTTGACTTACTGCCAACAACTGTCTTTAGACTGCAGCAGAACTGCATGGTATTGAGTATGTATGACATGCTAATTAACTTCGGTCTGTCGTAACATTTCCCCCACCCGTTTCGACTTCTGCTGTGTAAAATATTAAAAGAATAGCTTTTAATTAAAAAGAAAAACTTTATTTATGGCTAATCATCTTTAAATTTCTATTCCCTACAGCGCTTCCAGAAGAAGCATGCATAAAATAACTTTATAAATAAATTATTAGTCTGTCTAATATGCTAATAATGTGGTCTGATCCACCGAGTGTCCATTCGTTTATATAGGATCGTTTAATTGATCTAATGACCGTATGGTGAAGATCCCATGTTATTGCAATAACATCATTATAAAAAAAAAGCGAACCAACAAAAATTTATCTCCAAAGAATATATTGTTTTCTGACACATCTATTTAAAACAACATTTTCTTTAATTTGAGCGATTTTATAACCTCCTTTGAAAAAATTTATTTATAATGAACACTATTTCAACTTTTCAAGAGTTGAGGTTTATATTATATATATTTACTATGTTTTTGATTGCCCTTCAGCTATCTTATAATGGCTTCATGGTCAATTGAATGCCTTAGTATTTGTAATTCGTCGAATTACCATGAAGCTTTTGAAACATTTCTACCTCACTAGTAAGTTTAAATGAAAATCAAGTATTGGTCGGATAGTATACTTTAAAGATACAAAGAGCATAGAAAACAATTGATTCTTCTGTTATATGTCTTCGCAAAAAGAGAAAATATGAATTATAGAAATAAGTGATGTACTCATGGAAAATTAAGTTTTCTTTGATAGTATAGCTTAGGATGATAACGTTGTCTATCATATATTTCATCCAATCTTTTCAGTTCATTTGCAAAAATTTTTCACTCGATACTTAATGTATACTAAAAGTATACTTGCGAAGATATTTTAATTCATTATAAAAAGCTTAAAGAAACTAATTTTCAATATGGCGTGATAGTAAAAAAACGAAGCTCCGCATTTGTCTGATATTTGATTTATTCTTCAACTAATACCATAATAATAAGATTTTGATAAGAACTATTTGTTATGAAATGTGACGATAGTATTAGATTTCATTTTGTTTTCTATGTGTATCTTCTTCATTGTTTCTTATCTTCTCGAAATACCTTCTCATTTTTACACATCAAGGTACCCTGGTTATTGATACTCAATTGCATTCGTTGAACTCCCGTACCAAATTTTTGTTTTTATACCGTTCTGTATTCAAGTAATTCATGAACTTATTGACAGCACTATCAGAGTTCCCTCACAATCTTGAGAAATTTTTGTTTTTCCGCAGAAAAGTCAATCGTTATAATCGTTTTCTATGTTTAATAATTTTCCAAAAAATATTCGACTCTTCAATTCTAGCAATCTTGAAACACCTCTAAGCAGGATACAACGATTTAGAATCGTTTTAATCGCTTAGATTGCGTTTGATTAAGTCGAATAACCGAAAAAACAGATAATGATAGACTCAGAGTATTATTCCAGTAAAAACTTGTTTCTGTATTTTTCTTCTACTGATACCACTTTTTGGTAAACCCGAATGTGTATAGACGGATAAAGATTAGAATAAAGAGAATATTAAGAAACAAATCCACATCAAAGATAAAATGTGATCTAATATTACTGTTACATATCATAATAAACATCTCTTATCGAAATTTTCTTATTATGATATAAGTTGAAAAATGGATCAAGTATCAGAGAAATGTGGAGCTTTGTTTTTACGATCAAGCCATACAGAGAGAAAGTTTTGTAAAGCTTTATGTAAGGAATTATAATATGCAGATCAAGAAATACGGGACGTTTTCGAACGGAAAACAGAAAAATGGTAAGAACTCGGAAGAAGATACTCGGTTACAGTCGGAACCAGAAAAATTCGATTACTGAATCTCTACTTCCAATATCCTCGGTTTTCTAGCCGAAAATGCATAGATCCGACCATCAGAATCATTAACCTGAGTATCTTCAGCCTTAATTTTGTCATTCTCTAAGTATAACTTGATATATCTATTTTTCTGTTGAGTTTTTGAAATATTTTCAATTCAGTTTCGATTTTGACAGAATAGAATCATGTTCATCTCTGATATAAATTAAATAGATTTTCATTGAGTTTAAATCTTCCTATCAAATGTAAATATCTTACTGCTGACGATGATGGTGGTGGTGGACGTATCCAACAGCCAATCTGGTCGATATCTTTAATATAACCATAATAATGTCCTGAATAACATGTACCCTTATGAATAACAACAGCAAATAATTCATAATTTGTTTCAATCACAGAATCCTTTTAAAAAAAAACCGAATTCATAGTAAAAGAACGATAATATTCTTTTATCATACTTCACAAAATTCTTTTAAATCGATATCAAATGGAAACTCGTAACGTGTTGTCTTTTTCAATCGATTACCAGTTTTAAAATCATAAACAAATCGTTGTAATGGAAATGTTAAAATCGGTGGTAATTTACTTATTTTAGCCCACTAAAATGTGCAACTAAAGATAATATCGTTCTTTTTTTCTTTTCAATATTTTTACTTTTTCAGCATCACATAACATATTTGCACATGATGAACATCGATATTGATTATCACCAACTAATTGTTCATGAAGAGTAAACATATTTGCTAATGACGTATGTAAATTTGGACTATCTTGTACAACTAATGGTAAATCTTGATAATCTTCCTTGAAACAAAAGAAAAATAAAAGTTACTATTAAAGAAAAATAACAATTTTTTTTTCAAATAATATTTTTACTGTTCGTTTGAAAATTTTCTGGCATTGTTTACATTGTGTATAATTAATTGTTGAACCTTCATAACAAGAACGTATTAGATTTGATTGTTTTGTACCTTGCAATGATTTCTGTATAGCATCAAATAATAAACGATTAAGTTCATGAACATCTTGATGATCAAATGTCTACATAACATATAAAATATCATTTTATTCAAACATAGAAAAAGAAAAAAAAAATACAAACCTCATTCGATTGCCAACCAAAACTATCAGTTAATCGAATCGATGAACATGCTTGTTGATTAAGTAAAAGCATTTCAGCAAAAAGACGTTGTAATTCAACAATAATCTTACGAACCTATTCGAAGAAGAATATTCGGATAAATACTAAAAAAAAAGAAAACTTAATGATTTACTTTCAAAGTACTTCCACTGGACGGAGTTTGACTTGAGTCATTAGAATTTGATGAAAGATTAAGATCTTTAGCAGATAGACTGAAAAGAGGTTCTAAAGTAAAATATGTCAATCATTCAAGCCACATTTTTAATTTTCAAAGCAAATGAATTCTTCTCATAAAATCATTCCTTAAATTTTTATTAATCATTTTATGAATATATCAATGATGGTAGCTCTACTTAGACATGGAACTGATATTCGTTTGTCAGTTTGGTCTGTAGTGTGTTAGCCAGATTTTCTCTTTCGGCAAGGCAAGTTCAAACTCTGAGAAAACGAACATGTGTTTGTAGAAGTATCGACACGTAATACAATAATCACACACGTCGGGAAGGTGAATCGAAATTTTGAAGGTGTGCCGCCTCTTCGGCGCCCATACTGGATAAAATACTGCTGATTCGGTTTCTAGAGCCTTGCATCGGACTTCGACTCAATCGGAGTTACATCAGTAAAGCAATCAAGTAGCTTTACTCCTACATAATGATAAATTTATTGTTCATATGTTCAGTGATAGACAAAATGACACTATTTTATAGATTCATGAATGAATTTCAAAGAAAAACATCAGAGAGACATTCTCAAGAATAAGTGGTACGAAAAGAAGTTTATGCAGTAGTCAGAAGAAAAATTCTCAGAGTTGAAAAGTTTAACTCCACAGAGCTTTACCAGTCTGACTATATAGTTCCATCTTTAGTTTTACTTTTAGGTATACAATTGTATATTAATCATTCACCTTTTTCTATTGTAATAGTATTGAAGCGTATTAAAGAATGTCTACTTTATTATCTCCAATATAAGTAAACGAATATCACCAAATACTCGACTGTCATATGATAAATATTAGGATACCATCAAAGATGTTAAGACAATTGTAGTTTTATGCATAAAAAAAAACGATTTCTGACAAGAATTGTTTATGTTCTACAGATAAATATAAGGTTTTCTTTTTGATTCAAGAAAACTTGAGTTGATTATTTCGAGCAACCCAGTCGAGCTAAATCTAATTTGTTTTCGATCTCTGATTTTCATCAGATGAGATCAGTTTAAATTTTCTGATTAATACTTGAGATCTTCTCATTACTTACCACGAAATTCTGGTGTAAAAAGTAATGTTTGAATGAGAGCATTCAAATAACTAGAAAAAGAATTCATTTTTTTACAAAATACATTCAAAAGAAGTTAATCTCACCAAGTAGCTCCTTGATTTTGTAAACCACATAAATTTGTTTCATTTCGTGGTAATAAAGGTTTTTCAACCGTTGATTTTGAACTTGTATTAGATGTTCCTTGATAATAAGCTATACATAAGTAAAAAGAAAATCTTTCATTCATACATAAAGTTTTTTTAATATTTCACTTACGTTCTTCATCTCCACCATCTTCATCAAAGAGACCTTGCAACATATTATTATCAATCTAAAAACCTAAGCTCAAATATTTGGATAATCAACAGTGCACAAAAAAAAAGAACGAGCAGTCTTTCTAATCATCCTTTTTGCAGTCACCGTATCACAAAATGAAAGAAAGAAAGGAGGTTATCAATGTTCGTTTAAGTAGGACAAAAAAAAAATAACTTAATGATCAGTAGATTCTTTAGTTGTTTCAACAAATTGATTGTATTGATTTTCATTCATTAATGTTGTTGCCATATCTTTTTTAGCTTTTTCATCAATAATAGCTTGTATAAGCCAACCATTTTCATATGGACTTTTATTAATTAAATCAGCTTCATTTTTTAATTTTTCATTTACACCAGTTACTTCACCATTAAGTGGCATATAACAATCAGAAACGGCTTTAACTGATTCTAATGTTGCAAATGTATCATCACGTTTAAATTTTGTACCAATTGCTGGTAATTCACAATAAACAACATCACCAAGTGCACGTTGAGCATAATCACTTATACCAACACGAACTTCATTTGATTTTTTATTTAGATCAATTAATTGTATCCATTCATGTTTTTTAGTATAATAACGTTCATGATAAACACATTTTGTTAAATGAATATGACGTCTTGGAAGATATTGAATAGTTCGACGAAATAGGAATGTTGATAAAGTGGACATCTAAGAAAAAAAATCAAAAAATACTAGTTTAAAATAAAAACATAGGAGGCAATAAGTAAGCATTCGATTCTTAGTACAATACGTGTTATAAGTAAGAAAAAATATTTTTCAAAGTGATTCGTTCTGATCATATCCAATGACTTATTAGAATGAGTCATTAGTAAATAATACGTTTTAGGATATAAAATTGTGTTTTTTTTTTAATTTTTCTAGTTCTAGATTATATTGAGTCATTTTTCTTACGTATATTTCGCAATATCTTTCGCAATAAAATATTTTTGATTTCGACGAGGCGAGTTTTTTGCTTTCTGCATCACTATTTAAATAGACAGTGAAGATTTTATTTCTTAGCTGTAGATATTTTCTAGTCAAGAAAATTTTTCATGGCGTCATTTAAACAATTAAAATTATTTGTTGATAAAGAACTTGATCATTGTTTACAAAATGTTGTTCGTCCATTTACTGAACATGCCTATTTTCCTGAAACACCTATTGATCCACTTGGAATAGAAAGTATACTTTAAATAATTTTCTTTGAAAGAAGAAAAAAAAAATTTCATTTATTTTATTATTTCATTAGAACATCATCATGATATTCAATTACAGAATTTATCCATTTCTGATACACTTGCCTGTGCGACTTGTCAAATTCAATTTACTGATCGAACAGAACAGGTTTTTTTATACACACATATATATACATATAGGTTCATAAAAAAATCGTTCAATTGCTCTTTTTATTTAACAAAACTAGACTCTTCATTTTAAATCTGATTGGCATCGTTTTAATCTTAAACGAAAACTTCGTAATCAACCTCCATTTTCATCTGAAAAATTTGAAGATATGGAGAGTAGGTTATATAATTATTTTATTTGTGTTATTTTATTGTTTTTTTTTTAATCTACTCGTAGAAGATATATCTAGTATATCGGGAAGCGATTCGTCTAGTGATGAATTAAGTGGAAATGAAGGTTCATTGAATGCGTCTTTGGATGGTTCTTATAATACCTGTGCTAGAAATAATCCAAAAATTATTTTAACACTTAATGATGGTCGACATTTATCATTATATAGATGTATTTTACATGGAAAAAAGGTATTAGAAATTTGAGTATTTTCAGATAAAATTCAATTGATCAGAGAGTCAAAGAAATTTCTATAATAAGAATTAAAAAAATAAATGTCTTAAATTGATTAGATTTAATGACGCAAATAAATAATAAAAAGGGTTTAGGTTTCCAAGTATACTGAGAAAAACTTTGATCATGTTATTCGTGAAGACTAAATATTGAAAACAAAAATTTTCATGTAACAAGTTTTAAGATTCGTATCATGACGAGCATCTTGAAGATATTAGTTTGGTAGCAATATTTTCTAAAATCAAACCACTGTATTATTAACGAAGATAGATGGCATAGTTCAAGAATTTTCAATGCCTACATCAACGATTGAATGATATTTCGAATTAGAATTTTATTTATTCGTTTTTTCAACATTGTGCAGAAGATATATAAATTAAAGGAAATATAAATAGAAAATAAACACATAAATCACCAGTTTACAGACAAAGTTTTGTGTATTTAAATTAGAAATATCAGTCAATCTTGTGATAGATTTCGTTTTTCTTTTTCTTTCGACTTCTTCAATTTTGTCGCGACATCAACAAATTTTAAATTATAATAAGCATTACTAATGACAAAGAATTAATAGACAATCTAGAATAAACACTGTCGGTTTCGAAGATCAGAAAGATCGTTAGAAAACATTGACTATATAGAAGTGCTCCGTTTAGTAAATTAACGTATGATTTGTTGTGAAATGAAGCAAAGTTTCCAGAATGTCTGCATCTATATCAATCTTAAATATAACGTCGAGTGATTTCTTCCCTTGTTTATGTATTTTTATCTAGAGGATTTGAATTGACAGATTAATCAATTAAAACATAAGATTTTGTGTTCTTTCGTCTTTTTATTTATAAATTAATATCGATATTGACTTTTTTTTACATTTTCTTCATATGTACAATAGTGAATTCATCAATAAAGTGTAATAAACCATAGTAGAAAGAAAACTTTGCGGATGTGTTCATATTACAGAGGATATCGCAACTACAAAGAACACAACAAGAAAGTGATTGTATTTGTTATCACTGGATTTATTAGCATTCATTTCACATTATTATTTCTCTGTCAAGTGTAGATGATGCTTCAAATTGACGATGATCTCATTCTCACTCACTGGTGTTCTCTACTACTAAGGAAACCGATGAGTGAAGAGTGTCGTTGACTTAGGTGTGAACCCAAGTATACTATACCCAACAAATAATATACAGGCAAAATCACTCGTTAGCAATGTGACTTCACAATATGAAAAAAAATGTGTCTTGCACGATAATGAAATTTCTTATAGCTAGTATTTATATGTTACATGTATATTAGGTTACTTCAAATACTTTGAAAAAAATCAATGCTAGAGATTTGTTCAGAAGAGTTGTCAGTAAAAAAACTATCATTAACGACGTGACACAAAAAAGAGCCTCGACTGTAACTTCATGTATTTCAGTTTAAAAGATAAATCTGAATGCAAACTACATTTTAAAAAAACTAAGTAGTAGATTCCATACACAACTCCTGAGATTACTGTATTTCTATACAATCTTTTTTTCTAAGCAGGCCTATATTTTTCAAAAAAGAAAACAGTTTACCTTTCGTTAGTAACGTGTTGGAGTAGGAAGAAATACTCTTATAACCGAATGAGAAATTCAAAACCGATGTCATACGATACTAACTCTTCTTCAGCATTTCTAGATGATGTTAAGACGAAAATTATTGTTTCGAGACTTTCTAGAACCGTTAGAAAACTGGTTTTTCAGAAGAAGTTTTTTCTCACATGTGTTAGAGAGATATTTGCTAATTACTTTTAATTAACGGTTATATGAAAGAGTTAAGATTTTTACATATTTCTATGATAAAAGCACGTATTCAGAAAAATAACTCGTGTAAAGAATCGAAAGGTGAGTATGTTCGATTTTGCCTGAAATGGCTCATATACATTACAATATTTGATTTCTGGAAAAAAAGAGTTGCTGAATGCAGATGAGAAGTTGTGTGTATTGTCTAGAAGCACTCGAAAAAATAGTAAATAAACTAAATCGATCTGTTCGCCTCAAGATCATTTAGAATTCAGAACTGTTCACTAGTAAAATTTTTACTATAATCAATATAAATATTTCTATTTATTTAGAATCTTCCTCAAGAATCTCAAGAATTGATATTAACTGCTCAAAGACTTCCATTATGTACTAATTGGTGTATTGTCATGGCTGCTGGTGGTCATTTTGCAATAGCCATATTTCAACGAGATAAAATTATTCAACACAAAACATTTCATAAATATATAATACGTGCTAAACAAGGTACAGCACAAACAGCACATGATCAAAAAACTGGTGGTAAAGCTCGATCAGCTGGTGCAAATTTGCGTCGACAAAATATGCTTCATTTGAAACAAGTAAATATAAAATTTCATTTTTCTATTAATTTTATTTTAATATTTATAAAATAGAAAATTCAAGAACTTTTTATAACATGGAAAAATGAAATTCAACAATGTTCACTAATATTTGTTCGAGCACCAAGTTTTAATCAACAATTATTATTTGGTGATAAAAATCCACCATTATCAGCAAATGATCCAAGGTTTGAATAGAAAATTTTCATGAATTAAATTTATAATTTATTTTTTTTAGAATTCGATCGATACCATTTGCTACACTTCGACCAACATTTAATGAAATAAAACGTGTTTACGATCAATTAACTAAAATGGAACTTTATCGTACGATGAATTTAATATCTTTGTTCATTAATATTGAATTATATTTATTTTCTAGCTGAAGATTATCAATTTCAAAAAATTGAACAAGAAAAAGTATCAACTACAAAATCCAAATTACCAACACCCATAGCAAAGAAAATGACTAGCGATTCATCATCAGATTCTGAAGATGTTTCTGGTTAGCTTGGCTTTCGCATTCAAATTTTAATTCTATATTTTTGTTGTTTTTGAAAGTAGATGATGAAACAAAAAAAGCATCATTCAAACAAACTCAAAAAAAACAACTAATTATGGTCACTACAACTAATGATCGAAAAATATTACGTAAGTTAGATATAGAATGAAGACAGAACGTTTAGAAGCGTAGTATATTTGTCTTTTTTCTTTAACGACAATAACTAGAGTCAATAAGAGAAAAGATTTGTCTAAAAGGATCTCTAGAAAATCAATATTCTCAAAGTCAGGTTTCAGGATTCTATTTACAACGTTTTTCAAACAAGTTCAACTGATACAACAAACATTTCTGAAAACACTAAGATGTTTCCGAACTGTCTACGATTTATCTTCAGCGAACTACACTTATTCTACGATAAGTCAAACACAGTCAATTCATATAAATTTTCAGAAAAACAATTTTGTTAGGCCTCTCGTAAAATGATTGCAGTTAGCTGAAGATAGGTCGTAGATAGTTCAAAACATCAAAATATTTCCTCTGTCACATAGACTAGTTTAGAAAATGTTTTTGATAGACTCTAGAAAACCGTTTTTTTTTTAGTTTTGGTCTTTCAGAGATTCTTTTACCTGAATCAGTTAATGGAAATCGGATATGTACCTCTTCTGGTAGAAAGTTGTTTCGCTAATCAAACCTCCTCTACTCTTTGTTTTAATAATAAACGTTAAGGAAAAAAAAGTTAAAAAATACTAAACCCCTCCCCATATTAGAAGCCCCCGGGGGGCTTCTAATATGTCTATCATATGAAGCTTCTGAAGGGGGCTTCTATTAAGTCTCAAAAAAATTTCGTAAACTGCCAGGAAAAAGGGTTCGCAAGGGTTTTTAGCGACTTTCAAGGTTTTTATGAGTTTTCCAGAAGGTTTTTGACATTATTTTCAGATGTTACCTAAGCTAGATAAGAGTCAGCCAACTTTTTACCTGAAAATCGAAAAATTTTAGCAGTTTTAGCATGAAAATGCGAAAAAAAATCTTGAAAATTTTAAAATTTTTTCGAAAAATTAGGGGGGCTTCTAATACGTGAAACACGTTGTTCATCTCAGAGGGGGCTTCTAATAAAGGGGGGGCTTCTAATATGGGAGGGGCTTCTATTATGGGGAGGGGTTTATGTTTCTAACGTTTTTGTCTTTATCTTAATCTTGATTTTCAAAGCAATCTTTTATTTTTTGCTTAATTAGCTGTCGAGGATTTATCGACATTTAATGAATTATTTACTGCTTGTCGTCTAAATGATATTCAACGATTTGATGATCTAATTGCTCGATTACGTGCTATAAAATATATCGATAATTCTCCATCAATTATTGATATACTCAATTATCAAACGGCGGGTAGTCTTGATACACTTTTACATATTGCTAGTGAACGTGGACATTTGAAAATTATTCAACGTTTATTAAATGAAGGTGCTACTCCAGCATTATCAAATCAACGAGGAAAATATCCATATAATTTATGTAAAAATAAAGAAACAAAAGATGTATTTCGTTTATTCCGACATGATCATCCAGATAAATATGATTATACACTTGGACAAATTGCACCAAGTATAAGTATTGATGAATTAGAACGACAACGAACTGTTGAACGTGAACGTCGACGTCAAACAAAAAAACGTCGTACTGATAAACAACGTAGTGATCAAGAACGACAATTACGTGAACAAGAAGAAGAACAACAACGAATTGCTTTTCTTGCATTATCAGATGCTGAAAAACGTACATTGGCTGTACATGTTAATTTTGAAACAAACAAACGTGATGAATTACATTTAGGACGTTGTTGGCAATGTGCTAAAAAGATTTCTGATGAACCATTTACATATTTTGATTATAAATTCTGTTCAACAGCATGCTTAAAAGTACATAGAACTAAATCGAAAACGACTACAACGAATGTTTAATGTGTTTGTTTGTTTGTTCTTTTAAATTTTGTTTTTTTTCCCGAAATATATTTCTATTTAAAAAAATGGCAAATACAATAGGATGGAAAAACAATGAAGAGTTTAGTTTTACGAATATTATAATCAATTGCAAATTTTGATCACTAGAGCTTATTAAGTTCAAAATTTCCTTAACCATTCGAACTCTACTTTGATGCATTCAATGAAATTTTCGAATCAAAATCGAATAGTCGTCCCAAAATACGAGATACTTTGTTTCCAACTTGTTGTATTTAGTAACTAGCGCACTTTACACATTTCTTTAATGTGGTTCGAAGCATAGTATTCCTGTAGTGGACCATGTACGTATTCGACCTCCATTGGTGTGTTTTTGTTGTAATGAAATTCGTTCGAATTTTGTTAAAGAGATCCGTGTTTCCAGATGATACAAACGGTTTTGAATCTCCAGTAAGTTACATAAACTGGTGATTTTGACGATTTGATCTCCTTCTTTTATCCTAGATAGTATACTCATCAAGGGTTATCATTTTCTATTACAATGTTCTCGAGATTGTAGAGTCAGAAAATATGGATATAGACTATCTTGTACTGTCTTTTTCACACATCAAAGAAGGTAGAAGTTGTTTTAACAATGTAGATTTGTGGGCAATCGTTTTCCATACGAAAATTTTATATTTAAAATCAAAATGCATTATATTTTTTAGGCACTTTACCAATATTATGCACTAAATAATAGGATTAACAAACTCATTGCAGTCTCAACAACAAATCTACGTAAGAATACGATAAGCTTTTTACTTTTGCTATTTATAGCGCAATGAAGGTATGTAACTGAAATGGTATTATTTGTTTTGATTTTAGATATTCCATTTTTCTTCAAAAAAAAAGTCCCTAAAAACTCATGCTTTTAAAACAACTTTTACTTTCTTTAATACATGAGTAAGATAGTGCAATGATGCCTATCTGTGATTAAGGGATGCATAGGAGACAACTAACATCATTTTTCAATATGAATTATCTATTTAAATAGCATATTTGACGTAGTTTATAGTGCTCTTGCTAATGATATTTTGAACGATAAAATTAACTAAGCTTTATGGAAGAAAATTGTCCTACGTAGTTTTTGATTGAAAGTTTCTAATATGGATCAAAACAAGCATTCTGCTGTTTTTTAATCCTACTCAAAGGAAAGGTACCATAAAAAGAAGTGCATCTTATGGAAAGCGTATATTGTTCTATTGAATCGTGTATCATCGTGAAATTTTCAAATTAGAATAGATGTATAACAGCTTGCAAGAACAAGGAGTTAGATACTTTTGGAGGAATGAAAAACATCATACTAAAGTTATATTGTTAATAAAAACTAAATAGATCAATGGATATTTTTGAAATTTGTTCCTCGTATACTAAAGACTATAGATTATAATCTGATCAAAATCAAATGACTTCAACATATCTTGTTTTTGAGTTATACACAAAAAAATATAAAAATATCAAGCACATAGTTGAATAATCTTAATACCTACTGCATGCATGATAGATCAAACAGTATTCCATAATATTTCACTATGCTTCAGTTAGTGTAATAATATAATAATTTCGATCAAAGCTGTTCACTTCTCATTTAGATACATAAGGAAAACTTTCACTTCTACCACAAATCCCATATTGAACAATATATTCAAGCGAGAATTATTCAAGATAAGCTATATTTTGTTTTTGGGTGATCAACTTGCACATGCTGGAACAGTTGGCAGATGGTATAAATCGTTTTATGAAGATCAAAAAGACATTGAAGACAAAGGATGGTCTACTAGACCTCTGATTTAGACCAAGCCTTTTATGAGCGTATGGTCCCTGTCATCTCTATGTATTTCATGCCTACGTTCATTACCGTACCAGTCTAGTGTGCTCCGCTCTGCATGTAGTTGCGTCAGGCTTATGAGGAGCTTCATTATTGGCATGCGAACAATCAGAATTATGAAATGAGAAAAACTGAAAGAAATGAATAACAATCAAAAAGCGTTTATTAAGCAAGTCGAAAAAAAGTCTTTACAGGCTCTTTTTTACGTTCTGAAGGTGCTCTCTGTACAATTGAAGGTGCGGATGATCCGAGGATAGTGAATGTTGTGCAATTACGACAGCATCTTCATAAAATTGACTTGCTTTAGAGTATTCTCTCATATTTTCATACACAAGGCCAATGTTATCTTTTGAAACAGCCAAATCTGGATGATTCGAAGACAGAACTTTTTTTTCTATTGTGAGTGCTTTTTCGTAATATTCGAGTGCTTTCAAGTAGTCGCCTATATTGTCGTACACTTGACCAATGCTCTTGTAGCTAGCAGCCAATAAAAGATGATCCAAAGGCAGAGCTGTTTCTTTTATTTTAACTGTGTTTTCGTAAAACTTTAGTGCTTTCGAGTAATCACCCATGTTATCATATGCTAGGGCAATGTTTCCGTAGAAGGTAGCTAAATCGAGATGATTCGGAGGTAGAACTAGTTCTCCTATTTTAAGTGCTTTTTCGTGAAACTCAAGTGCTTTCGAGTAGTTACCAATGTTATCATACGCTAGACCAATGCTTCTGTAGGTAATAGCCAATGAGAAATTGTTTGGATACTCAGCGTTATTCCAGACTTCCAGCTCTTTTTCGTAAAATGCAATTGCTTTCAAGTAGTCGCCCATATCTCTATACACTCCACCGATATTGCTGTAGGAAGCAGCCAATGAGGGATGATTCGGGGGCAAAGCTGTCTCTCTTATTTTAAGTGCTTTTTCGCAAAATTCCAGTGCTTTCGAGTAATCACCCATGTCTGTATACACTAGACCGATGTTGTTGCACGAAGTAGCCAATGAGAGATGATTTTGAGGCAGAATTCTTTTGTAGATTTTATGTGCTATGTCGTAAAATTCAATTGCTTTTGAGTAATTACCCAAGTGATTGTACGCAAGACCAAGGTCATTGTAGAAAGTAGCTAAATCGAGATGATTTGTAGGCAAATTGTTTTCACCTATTTTGAGTGTTTTTTCGTAAAATTTACGTGCTTTAGATAAGTCACCCATGTTATGATACACCTGGCCGATTTTGTTGTAAGAAAATGCTAAATCAGGATGATTTTGGGGCAGAATTTTTTCGTAGATATTATGTGCTACTTCGTAAAATTCAAGTGCTTGCAAGTTGTCATTCATGTTATAATACAATTGACCAATTTTGTCGTAGGATTCAGCCAAATCAGAAAAATTTAAAGGACGAGCGTGTTGTCTTACTTTGAGTGCTTTGTCATAGAATTCAAGTGCTTTCGAGTAGTTAGCCATGATATTATACACTTGACCGATGCTATTGTAGGATAAAGCCAAATCGGGATCATTCGTAGGCAAAACTTTTTCTTTTATTTTATGTGCTTTGTCGTAAAATTGGAGTGCTTCTGAGTAGTCATCCATGTCGTAGTAGGCAAGGGCGATGTTGTTATAGATATTAGCCAATGAAAGATGATCTTTCGGAAGAGTTTCACGGTAGATATCAAGAGATTTTTCGAAAAATGCAATGGCTTCTTTATATTGTCGTTGGTGGTATTTCATCCTTCCAAACTGATGATAGATATACGCTCTATCACTGTCATTGGAAGTGTTCTTGAATAATTCATCGTACAGTGCTTCAGCTAAATTGAAGTGACGCGCTTTGATCATTAGATCACCCATTCGATGCCATCCTGTAGTTCCGGACAGTTCCACTTGCATGTTTGTAGTGACAGTAGTTAGCTGAGAATCATTATCACCTATGAGAGTCAGTTGAACTTCCCATAGGCGATTATTGTCCACTGTTTGTTTAATTTCACCGACACGAAAAACAGTATTCATTGAAAAAAGAATTTCGCGTTCTTGTGGAAAAGCACTGTAACTTTCAACGAGGGCAAATGGTATGGTCGAAGCTGATGTTTTACTTGCATCGATTGTCATAACAAAAAGAACCCCTACAATTTTTTCATATTTTCGTAGTGCATCATGAGCGAATCGCAAGGCTTTCTTTTGTTTTGTACTAGTAGACAAGAAATTATTGAAAGAAAATAGTCCACCTATGGAATCGCACAGATTCTCGAAGTGCTGTTGGTTCAGTCCTTGGCCACGATAAACGATAAGGTGTTTTTTATGCGTAATTGACTGCTTTTGGTGCAAGTTTTCTAACTGCCGATGGAGACTACGAATAAAGAACCCCATTTTTGCCATGACTTCCATGTCAAGCGATCGTAGGGCATGGTTGAGCATGCCATAGAGAAAAATGTCATCACTATACCACCAAATGGGCGATTTGTTGTGGTACTCACGTTGAAAAAACTGTAATTGGGATTCAGGAACTTTTTTGTGACGACAATAATTCACTAGGTCTTTCACCGATTTAGTTTCGTCTTCATCAATTTCCAATAGAACCTCTTTGAATAATACCGAGTATATGAAGGATGGCTCTAATTGGTCGAAACTTTGTTCATCTGATACTGTTGTCGTCATTCGCTTTGAAACGAAGCTCATCGAAATTGCGTCGTGGTCACATTCTCGGGCTACTTTTTTTAAAGAATTGCATATGGATTGGATTGAAGTGAAAACACCTTGAACCTTTGGCCATTCTTTAGCCCATGATTCATGTAGCACTTTATTCCCACAAAAGATGTAAATAGCATCTACCTGTGCCATACCATGAATTTCTGGCACGAAACGCTTACCCAAAGTTCCCGAAGAGATGATAAAAGCTTTTTCGTCAACCATATCATTAAGAATTTCCATACATTGTGCCGTTGTCGTGCAGAGATTAACCTCGTTGACAACACTACGCAATTCCTCGAGCGTATTTTGGCAATCTGGACTTGCTTCATCAAATTTACTATCAACCCAAATGAGCAAATAGTTTTGAATCATGCGTCGTCTGCGATGAATATTATTTGATGATTTTGTCGGAGTTGCAACGGCACCCGTTGTTGGTGGGACAATTATTTGTTTGGATTTTT